TCCCCTGAACCCTAAAAAGCCTACGCCCTTAGAGACCTCAAACTTGAAGCCAAGCCTAACAGCCCTGTCCCCCAAACCCCCCACCCTCTCAACCCAAATCACAAACTCCCCAAAAACCAAAAACCCTAAACCCTAAACCCTAAACCCCACACCCCTAAGCTCCCGAACTCCCTGATCCCGAAGCCCCTAGCTCCCAAACTCCCTGAAACCCTAAACCCTAAACCCTAAACCCCTAAACCCCAAAAACCCAAAACCGATAAACCCGCTACATAAACCTGAAACCCTAAACCCCCAACACATCTCAAGCCCGAAACCCTGCCTCCTCGCGCTCCTAGACCCCCCTAAAACCCTAAACGTAAAACCCCAAACCTCAAAGCCCAAACCCCAAATCTTAATCCCTAAACCCTAAACTTAAAACCCCAAACCCTAAACCCTAAACTTAAAACTTAAAACCCCAAACCCCAAACCCCAAACCCCAAACCCCAAAACCCCAAACCCCAAGCCCCAAGCCCCAAACCCTAAACCCTAAACCCTAACCCTAAACCTTAACAGCCCTAAACCCGAAACCTTAAAGCCGCCTCCAGAAAACCGGGGCCTCCGAAGCGCTGAAGCAAGCCGGGCTCAAGGAGGGCGAGGCGTGGGGGGTTTAGGGTTTGGGGTTTGGGGTTTAGGGTTTAGGGCTAGGGTTTAGGGTTCGGGGTTTTGGGTTTAGGGTTTGGGGTTTGGGGTTTAGGGTGTAGGGTTTTGGGGTTTCGGGTTTATAGGGTTTGGGGTTTAGGGTTTCGGGTTTGGGGGTTTGGGGTTTAGGGTTTGGGGTTTAGGGTTTAGGGTATAGGGTTTAGGGTCTGGGGTTTAGGGTTTGGGGTCTAGGGTCTTAGGAGGGTTTTGGCTTCCATAGTTTCGGGGAGGCAGGTTTGACTGCCACTGGAATGAGCAAAAGTTGGATGTCCTATATCATCTTTAAGGGGGATACACGGTGCGTAAAGCCTGAATGCCCTACTAAGAACAAGTATAAGTTTAGGGTTTGGGGTTTCGAGTGCGGGTGTTTGGGACTGTGTTTGGGGCTGAGGTTTGAGGTGAAGGAAAGCCCTAAACTACGAACCCTCAAACCTTAAACACTAAACCCTCAACCCGAAAGCCAAAAGCCCTAAAATCCAAATCTTGAAACGTACACCCCTAAACCCTTCACCCCATGCCCCTAACCATAAACCCCTACTCTCTTAAACCTCTGAAACGTAAACTTCTAAACGCTGTAGTCATCGCGGCTCGGGGACCTATTATCTGGCTGAATAGCAGTCCTTACAGGAATGGAAGCACATTCATCTAGCGCCTGGAGCATACATTCAAGACCTCATACGCAACCGTAAACTCTAAACCCTGACACCTAAACCAACAAATCCCGAAACCCTAAACCCCAAACCCTAAACCCTAAACCCTAAACCCTAAGCCCTCTCCAAATCTTCGCCCCAAATCCTGAACCCTCTAAGCCCTATGTCATGAGAATCCCTAGACCTCACCCCTCAGGCCCTGCACGCTGACCTCAAAGCACTGAAACCCGCTACCCCCTAGTAAGCCTTGGTAGCTGAACGAGTACACTTTACACTTTTGTGGATACAAGAATCCCCTGGCTACCCCTAAACCCTAAACCCTAAACCCTAAACCCTAAACCCTAAACCCTAAACCCTAAACCCTAAACCCTAAACCCTAAACTGAAAGTGTACACTTTGTTGGGGCTTTTGAACTCAGCAACGAAGACGCTCTAAACTCAAGCCTAAGCCTGAGGCCAACTGCACCTAGTCCCCTAAACCTTCAACCTCAAACCCTTAAACCCTAAACCCTAAACCCTAAACCCTAAACCCTAAACCCTAAACCCTAAACCCTAAACCCTAAACCCGAATCAGCAACCCTGAAGCCCTGGAAGCCTTAAAGCCGCTGGCCTAAACCTCAAATCAACCGCACAAGGTAGCCCAAACCCTAAACCTCCAAATCGCTTAAGTGCGAAACTTGTTTGTTGGGTTTAGGGTTTAGGGTTTAGGGGTTTAGGGGTTTAGGGGTTTAGGGGTTTAGGGTTTAGGGCTTAGAGTTTAGGGTTTTTGCTACCAAAAAAAACAGCCTCAAAACCCTAAGCCCTAGCCCCCCCCCCCCCCCCCAAGAAAAAAAAACCTACACCCTACACCCTACACCCTAAACCCTAAACCCTAAACCCTGAACCCTAAACCCTGAACACTAAACGCAGGAGGTGATCGTTGGCAAGCAAAAGTTCTCCTACAACCCCGAGATGATCGGCAAGGCCGATTTTCTCGTTCAGGGGCTCTAGGGTTTAGGGTTTAAGGGCTTTTAGGCGCTGCAGGACTTCAGGGTTTAGGGTTTAGGGTTTAGGGTTTGGGGTTTAGGGTTTTAGGGTGAAGGATGAAGTTTTTGGGTGTTCGGGTCTGGGGCTTCCAGGCCGGTATCTTTTTCACTCCCTGAAGGGTCACGCAGGCGAAGACACAAGGCACCTAGTTCCCGAATCCCTATACCCTGGGCCCTAGAACGAAATATTGTCGGTTTGGAGGTTTTGGGTCGCTGCAACCCCTCGAAACCCTGAGGGTTTAGGGTTCAGGGTTTAGGGTTTAGGGTTCAGAGTTTAGGGTTTAGGGTTAAGGGTTTGGGTTTAGAGTTTAAGGCTAAGGTGCAGGGTTCAGGGCTGCGGGGATGTGGGCGGGGTTGTTTAGGCTTTTGCGTTCAGCGTCCTCGCCTTCAGGAGGCCGCTAAGCGCGTTTAGGGTTTAGGGTTTCGGGTTAGGGTTTAGGGTTTAGGGTTTAGGGTTTAGGGTTTAGGGTTTGGGGTTGAGGGTTTAGGGCTTAGAAGGGGCCCTTAATCTTATTCCCCTGTAGAATCCCTGTATCTACCGTATATCGTCCCTATATACTCTACATTCGCTTATTAGGGTCCCGCTTTCGTCCCTTTACATGTGGTGGTAGGGGCCGAGGCTGAGGTTTCTATAGGGGGCAATTCGAAGTTCTCCAAAGCCGAAGACCCTAAATCCTAAACCCTCTAAGTCATAGTTCCCAAACCCGAAAACACAGCAAAGGCCCCAACCCCAAACCTTAAACCCTAAACCCGAAACCCTAAACCCTAGACCCTAAACTCAAGTACCGCTTGCAGGAAGCCAACATGCTCTATGGCCAACTTGAGCTGAAGGTTGTGAAGGAGGAGGAATACAAGAACCCGTTCCGTGACTAGGGCTGGAATGACTTGCAGGGGCTAGTGTGTGCAGAGTTTTGGGCTTTGAGCTAGCAACCCTAAACCCCAAACCCTAGACGGTTGATAAATTTGTTGTGGGGTGTCTAGGGTTTCGGGGTCAGGGTTCATGCGTTCCAAAATCATTCAACGAACCCTAAGCCCGCAACCCTAACACCCTACACACAAAGCCCTGAACCCTGAACCCTGAACCCTAAACCCTAACACCCTAACACCCTAACACCCTAACACCCTAAACCCTAAACCCTAACACCCTAAACCGAAACTGCGTCACGGGATGGAATGCACTTCGTGTCACCGTGGCTCAGCTCCCACTGCCGCCCTCGGCAGTGTGTCTCGCCTCAGAGCTTTGTGGTACTTTACTGTAACTTTAGATCCTTACCTTTTTTGGGTTTATTGGGTTTCTTCTTAATTAAGGCAGCTAAAAGTTTAATTTACAGCTACCCTCCTGAGTGCAGCCAAGAGAGTGCCAAGAGAAAGGACAAAGCAAGCCAGGTTAGTGGGCTTAGGGGTAATTAGAGGGTTTTAGGGTTGTAGGGTTGTAGGGTTTTGGGGTTTTGGGGTTTTGGGGTTTTGGGGTTTTGGGGTTTTGGGGTTTTAGGGTTTTAGGGTTGTAGGGTTTTAGGGTTTTAGGGTTTTGAGGTTTCAGGGTTTTAGGGTTCTAGGGTTTCCCCTCAAGCCCCTGAAGCCACGCTGTACCCCTCAACAGCCGGTTGCCCCGGTGCGTCGTTGCACCTTAACCCAAAACCCCTTATTCATGCCTAAGCCCTAAACCCCAAACCTAATCCTAGTACCCTAAGCCCTAAACCCTAAACCCGCAAGCCTAACCCTGAACCCTAAACCCAAGACCCAAACCCCTAAACCCCTTATAAGCTCTTAGACCCCAGGGTTGGGGGTCTTCACGAGTTCGGCTTTCGATTCTATGAAGACGGGAGGCTCAGGCACAGGGTGCTCGGTTTGAAGGTTAGGCGTTTACTGGTTTTTACCCTAAACCCTAAACCCTGAACCCTGCACCCTAAACCCTAAACCCTAGGGCTTCAAGGGGCTTAGGCGCTTCTGTAGCGCAGAGAAAAGTACAAGAAAGACACTGCAACACACGGGCAGGCTATAATTTTGGTCTTGAGGGCGGCTATTTCCGGCAAAAGTCTTCTTACCGTAAACCCTAATCCCTAAACCCCAAAACAGAGGTCTTGCGAGCTTTACATTGCAAAGGGGATTTGGCGGGACTTCGTAATATTAGGGTTTCCTATACGTCCAGGGCCCTCATCGGTATTAGAGCCCTTAAGCACTCAATTATTGGGTCCCTGGAACCCCAAACCCTAAACCCTAAACCCTAAACCCTAAACCCTAAACCCTAAACCCTAAACCCTAAACCCTAAACCCTAAACCCGTTTTGCTAGCACTGATACCGGGGAGCCCTAATTCCTAAACCCCGGAAACGTAGATCTCGGCTCCATCTCTGACGAAGGCACTCGCAGCCCTAAATATAGGGTTTAGGGTTTAGGGTTTAGGGTTTAGGGTTTGCCCTAAACCCCTAAATCTGCCAAATCTGGGGTGTAAGGTTTTTGCCCCTAAGCCCTACACCCTGAATCCTAAACCCTATAGGACTTAGCACCCCAAACCCAGCCCTCCGCGAATAAAATCGTCGGCACTGCGAGCCATTCTGGCTCAGCTCTTTGTCAGCACGCTGCCCTGTGGGGCCACGCCTGCAAAACACCAAACCACAGATCGAGCTTACCGAAGCGGCTTGGGGTTTAGGTGGAGCAAAGCCCGAAGCACTACAAACCCTACAAACTCTTGGTTGAGGCCTAACCCTAAACCCTAAACCCCAAAACCCTAAACCCTAAACCCAGCCGCTGACCACTGAACCCTACACCGTACACCCCTAGATGCCAACCCCAAAATACCCTAAAACCTTCAAAGCAGCCAATGCCTAAACGGAACCTAAACATCTGTACTCAAGCCGAAAAAACCCCATCAGGTAAAGAGCCCTGAAATTACACACCAAAATGCACACATTTAGACAACTTACACCAAGCCACCTGAACCCTAAGCCGTAAAACTTCCAGAACCCTCTCCATGACCCTAAACCCTACACCCTAAACCCTCAACCTAGAAAAATGCTTCGCGAGCCGCCGGGCTTCACACGTAGTCCTCTTGTGGAGGACCGGCTGGTCGTTGATTTTGGGGTTTAAGGTTTAGGGTTTATGGTTGAGGGTTGAGGGGTTTCGGCATTTCGGGCTTTGGGGTTTTGAGGGTAATTGGGGTTTTGGGGTGAATCTAGGGATTTCGAGTTTCGGGTGTAGGATTTGGGGTTTTTGCGTGGGTTTTGGGCTTTTGGGGTGTATGGTTGAGGATTTGGGGATGGGGGGCTTTACGGTGTTGGGGTTTGGGGGTTGTGGGGTTCTAGGGTTTTCTGCTTGTGGAATATTGGTTTTTTTGGTGGCTTAGGGCTTTTGGGATTTTGGAAGTTTTGGCGAGATTTGGGGGGTTAGGGTTGTGGTTTTTGGGGTTCCAGGTTTAAGTTTGGGGTTTATAGAAGATTCAGGGTTTGGGGTTATGGAGGCTTGGGGGTATCATGTGTGTGTTTAGGGGGATAGGGTTTAGTGTTTCGGGTTTAGGGTGTATTGTTTTTGGGTTTGTTTTAGGGTCTGAAGTTCATGGCACTTGTGGCTGTGAAGGCACATGACCCTAAACCCTGAGCCCTGAACCCTACCCAAACCCTAGACCCCAACCCCCAAAACCCCAATTCCCAACTCCCCAAGCAAAAGCAAGAGAAACCAAACCTTTCGACCCTAAACCATGCAGGGTTTAGGGTCCCAATCCCTGAGCCTTGGAGCCCAAATCCTAAACCTTTTGTCGATGACAACGAAGTCGCAACCTCAGGACCCGCGGGTACGCTTTTTTGCCCGGGCCGTACACTTCTGAGGGGTTCAGGGTTTCGGGCCCATCGGGTTTAGCGTGTAGGGTTTGGGATTAAACCCATAGAACCTAAGCTCTACATCCTACGCCGAGGCCCCCTAAGAAGTAAACCGCCCCCCTAAGCCCTACTGTTGAAAATACTCTAGGCTGTGAGGTTCCAAGGTGTGAGGTATGAGGTTGTGCAGTTGTGCATTTGTATATGTTGCTATTTGGCGTACTAGGGGAAGGCTACGAAAGATACCCCTAGAGCCACGTATATGCTAGACTACGTGTACTGTACAGTGTAAAGAACACAGGTAGCATTTCGTTGGTGTTGTTCCTTTTGTCTTTGTTGAGTGTAGTTCTCAAAGTCTCTGAGCCTGACCATCATGGAAAACGCGCGAGCTCCGTTGACAGGGCAGCCTGTTCAACAGGTGATGAGCCCAACGCCGGGGCCAGGGACATCGACTCTATGTCATCGTCAAGCATGCTCAACGGTGCACGGGATGTAGCCGGCGGAGGTTCATCGCTGACTCATGGGCCTGGAGAGCTCGTGGGTAGCGATGGCCTCCAAACTACGACAGATGGCTCAACAACGCCACCCACGACTTCCACAGCCCCGCCTTTGCAGCCGACCAACGGGTTGGGCCGAACAGAGGTGGTGGATGGAGGCAATGGCGAAGGTGTGTTGCAGCAGGATTCCAGCGACGTTGCTGCAGATGGTTCTCACACCGTCTTGGCTGCAACCGCTTTGGGAATCGCTGAGGGCCAGTAGACCAAACTGAGTATAAACTGAGTATCAGCGAGTCATTTGTTCTGCTGCGCTCTCCTCGTCGGGTTGTCCTGTCCGTGGCCATGCAGCCTGGTGGAGATTGTAACACCACGATCATCCTTTTTGGTATGTGTTTGTACGCAGTGCCCCATGGTCAGTATATACCTCCGCATCTCTCTGCGTGTCCCAGGCCACCCAGATAAAAACAGAAGAAGGAGGAGGGCCCGGCGTCCGAGCAGGGGTGCGTGAGACCGGAGGTTCGTCACGGGACCGCCGCCGGCTGGATATCCGATTGGCGCGCGTGGCAGCCCAAAGCAGCAGATGCAGCAAGCCCTAAACTTCACACAATCTTCTTTTCAGATGTTCCATGTGCATTTTCATGTGTTTCCCGGTCGTTGGAATCAGTCGCGTGATTGTCTCCGAGGTCTGTTACCCGAAGACGACGGCTTCGTCCTATGTGGCGATCACTCCTGTGTCTCAGCGGGAGCTCGCAAACGAATTGTCATTTGGCTCACCTGGTCTCGTCAAAACGTCTTCCTTGCTTGCAAGACTTTGCTGCTCTTGGGATGTCGCCAATCTATGCCTGTCATGAGTCCTGCCGAGGTTGGAGGTGTGTCGTTGCTGCGGCGTGTTTTTTTTGTCTCGGAGTCTCGGCGGTTTCTAATGCCGCAGTTGTTAGTTCATTCGCCAGTTCTGTGCAGTGACTTACATATGCCTTGGCCGATGTGGACATGTCTTCTGTGTCCGATGACTCGTTTTCCACTTTCAGTGAGCAGGACTGTTGTTCTCGCAATTCTTGCGCCCTAAACCCGAAACCCTCAACCCTAAACCCTGAACCCTAAACCTTCGGCAGGACGCCATGAGCGAGGCCCTCGCACGAGCCCCTGACAGCCCTTGGAGGGGGCCCTTCAGTCCTCACACACCGATCGAATTGCTCCAGGCCTCCTGGCGATTGAGCATGCGCGGGTGTCAATCCTGTTGGTAGCTTCTGCTTCCTTCTGCTGTCTTGAGGATGGACCGGGCTTGGTCGTGTTGCCCGAAGATGAAGACACAGAAGCTGCCTCACTCGTAGGAGGGCATTGTTTTTTTCTTAGACAGTTGTTCTGTCTGGCTGCTCTGGCATGTGCATTTGTATGTGTGTAGAAATGAGTATATGTGAAAGTATGCCGCCCAGGACTTTGTCCCGAGGACACCGCCCACATTGCTTGCAGCTGCCCGTCGACTTGCTCTTCTACAGGGTCAGGCGGTGCAGTCCAACGCGCCTCCTGGGCCTCCACCCTCGACGCCAAGCCCAATGCTTCCCCCCACT